TTAACATAAACCACGAAGCCTTATGACTAGGGATAAAAACTTTAATAATCATTGGCCAAGTTCCAAATGAAATTGTAGCATTAATTATATCACTGTCACTTCTTCGGTGGGGGGGGGTCGTCGTCGTCGTCTTCTCTTCTTCTTCTTCTTCTTCTTCTTCTTCTTCTTCTTCTTCTTCTTCTTCTTCTTCTTCTTCTTCTTCTTCTTCTTCCTTTCTTCTTCTTCTTTCTTCTTTCTTCTTCTTCGTGTTTTTGAGACAAGGTTTCACTGTGCAGTTCAGGCTGGCTTTGAACTCACTTTGTAGCACAGGCTGGCCTCTACCTCACAGTGCTTTTCCTACCTCAACCTCCTGAGTGTTGGGATAATAGGCATGTGCTACCATGCCTGCCTGCCTTTTTTTGAACAAAATTTGAACTGCCAGAAAATACTGTGCACAATTGCATTAATATCTTGGAACATTTAAATGCTAGAGTAGTCATTCTTGTTTTAGTATGATTATAAATCCAGCATTTACAAAGTTAGTTTAATTAAGAGTACTAGTTTCTCCTTTTTTCATTTTCTCTTAACCACTATTCTGCATACTATACATTGGAATTCTTTGGCCTGTTTAATTATTGTATTCTTGCCGTCTTTTTAAAAGCTAATCCTATTATTTTCCTTCCATATTAATCCTTATTGAGATCAATTAGAGTGGATTATTTGAGAAAAATAGTGAAGGCAAGAAAGAAATGGCAGCATTATTAGCCAAAGCAATAATCTTGAAAATGTTGTATGTAAAATGCTTGATGTGTGCAAATTTTATACCTTATGTGAATGTATGATGAGACTGACAGCCTTTGGATTTCTTCAAGGAATTTTTTTTTTTTTTTTTTTTTTTTTAGTACAGGATCTACAGGCTCTTACTATGTAGGTTAGACTTGTGGTGATCCACCTGTTTTCAGCTTCCCAAGCACAGGGATTACCGGCATGTGCCACCATGTGCCACTGGGAAGTTTCTCAATCTGTGTCTATGTGCCCTGGGGGCAGGGCCAGCACTGCTGGTGGTGTAGGGGATCAAGCCCTGGCCCCTGCACTCTGCCTGAGCAGGCGCTTTAGTCTGGTGAGCTGTCTGGCGGCCCTAGTCAAGGAAATCTTTGGTTGTGATCAGGTTTTCAAAACTCGTTAAGGCACAACAAGCTTTTTCTTCAAAGGGAGTTTCATATAGAATCACATATATTAAAATAAGAAGTGACAAATTTTCAAGGATGGGGTAGAGTTAACGTAGAATATGTTTTCCAAAGGCTAGAACCTTAGCTCAGCTACTTCTTTCTTTCT